AGATCATTAAACCAAATGAGGACACATTTAGAAATGAAGACACTGATTTTAGCTAATAAAATACTTAAAATACGACACAATGTCCCTTTAATAAATACTGTATTCCATACGTTATACTATGTAATATAAAGGTATTAGAAGGGGGATGATAAAAAAAAAAATTCAGAAGGTCTAACAGACTTCATTACAAACTGTTGCTTCTTATAATAACCTCAAAGCTGAGGAACTCAGTCTATTCTCACTCCTTCAGCTCATATCAATCCTCAGAGTTTGTGTAACGTCAACTGGAGTTCAGTTCGGTTCCAAACTGAACGAACCTTTAGGTGAAACGTCCAGTTGCCTGTACTGGAGCTCTGAGGATCAGAGGTGGGCGTGAAACCCCCTGGTCCATTTAAAATGGGTGACTGTGTCTGATGTGTCTGTTAACTGAGGGGATCGATACCCCCCGACTCTACGTTTCTCCACCCCGGACCTCGGGGCACGAAACAGTCCTGGATGTTTTCCAACTTTCCCTGCTCCAAATAAAGGCGTCAGCCCTTCAGGCTGGTGCACACCAGTCTATGGACGGTGTATTTTGAGGACTGGGTTGGGAAACACTGCTCTGCTTCATAATTTCTGTTATCATCAGAGTTGTTGATTCCATATACACAACACTTAGGTTTAGACTGTTTGCTGTTGCCTCCATGTCCCTCATTGTTGTCTTGAGCTTAATTCCCTGCAAAATAACACCCAACATCAAACTACATTAATTCCTAGATGGTTTGGAATCATTAAGAATAACTAGTTTGTTAGTAGATTCCTCTGACATGTCTGTATAGCTTTGTATGTTTCTCTTTCTCTGGGTGAAGAAGCCTGTTTGTGGTCCTCTGTAATAGAGTCATTGCGCCCCCTAGTGGTCAGTGTTGGATCTAGGTAACTCCCTCATGACTTGGATCGCTATTTAATCATGGTCTCACCTTCACTTCAGCAGCCAGTTTGTCGATGGCGAATCCGTCCACCGTGAGCTGCGGAGAGATCAAAAAGCGTGACCCCGGGGTGACAGAGGATGCTACGCTCTCATCCGGAATCCCGAGCACCGGGACGCTCTCTGACCTTGATGAGCCTTGATATGAGGAAGCCTCCCTGGTAGCGGTTGTAGAGCTCGTCCCAGTTGTCTTTGACGAACTTCCAGGCGGCTTTCCGGCCTTGTTTGCTACTGCCCGCCACTCCCCCGATTACCGACACCGTGTCCTGAGGGCGGACCTCTTCCTGAACGCAACATCCAGAGAGGAGAGTTAGTTTTTGATGGCTGCTTAGAGGAACAAACACAAGAAAGCTATACAACTTAAGATTTCGATTTTAACTACAACATCGGGAGTATTTTCTCTGATGACCGTCGGGATTCTAACGGATCTTTTCTTATTTATGCCTGTGAAAGAAGACACAGGCTGAATTATATCTGACTGCTAGCACCATCAATGAAAAGTTTATGGTAATCTTTGATGTGATGTGAGAGGCCGCTCGGCCCCACGGAGAGCCGGCTGTGGTCTGTCCCCTTTGATGAAAAGGTATTAGAGGGGAAGTGAATTATAAAGGGAGGGGGGGGGTGGCCACAACAGCTGCTGCTCAGCTGGACACAGGCAATTAGATACGACGGCCGAGCAGCCAAAGACATAAACGGGAGAGACAGATGTGGACGGGTCAAAAAGAGAATTATTTTAGTGTCTTGGTGAATCCTGGTGAGTTCGTCTTTCTGCACTGCAAATCACTTTTAACTCATTGACTGCCAGCCATTTTCAGAACAGAGAGTCCCATACTGCCAGAGTTTTTTGAGCATTTTGACTGATTTTTCAAGAGCCACAGAATAGTTTGTGCTATGACTATGTAAACACTGAACACACCAAAAGAAAGAGTAGACTCTCTTCTTTCATCAGGAAATTTTTTTTTGTTTCTACCTTATTCCGTTCTTCCTTTAGTTGCGTCTCACCTGCGCCATTTTTCGCATAGCGAACCATTTGCCTACAATCTATGCTCATCTCCGATCAAAAGTGGCACAGCTACCTAGAGGGTTAATTTGTTAGTACATACTCTGTCTAGAAGCCGATATTTACGGACAATCTTCAGCGGATCGTCCCCCAAGTCACTTGCGTTGAAAAACATAAAAGACGTCTATAGACGTCTTTGGCAGTCAACGGTTGGATTTGAATTGACGTCTATAGACGTCTTTGGCAGCGAATGAGTTAATCTGGCACAAAGTCAACCGGGTTACGTACGGAGAGGGCGAAGGTGAGGACTTTCTGGATGAGGTCGGGGGCGGAGATGGCGCCCAGCACCCGCTCGATGCGATTCTTCTCCTCCTGCATGTCTGCTTGCTTGTGGAGCTGAAGGAGGGGGGGAAAAGACAGAACAATTACCGGAGGCTGGCTCGAATCGTACAAATCTGCCTTCCATCCATCAGCTGGAGCGTTAAGTTAAGTGGAGCCAGGACAGGCCTCCAGTCCACCAGACACTGGGACAATCACTTCTGATGTCTGTTGTAGGTCTGGGCTGAGAGATCAACCCAGAACAATAAGCCAATAGGGAAACTGTCCTAACCATTAATTTTTTGGGGAGACTGAAGGTATTGCACTAAATGTAGCAAAACAAATTATCCGAAATGCCAACATGCAGTAAAGGAAGATGCTATTTTATATTTTGTAGATATGAGTCTGGCAACTAAGTAAGTAGGCTAAATAACTTTAAACGTTAATACATGCTCTGATAGGCCGGGATTGGTATCGGAAGTGCAAATACAATATCGGTATCGGATCGGAAGTGAAAAAAGCTTGATCGGGACATCCCTAGCTCAGACATTCTCACTGAAAATTCGGAGGTGTAGAGCCCATCTTACCTTCAGCATTGTGTCCAGTGTGCTACTGTCTCCATGCTTTAGCACTGTTAGATACACCTGCAAAAACAAAGAATTTTCACCATTATTTTCGTTGATATCTTACAGAAGGCAACTGTGTGTGTGTTTGGGTGGTTGTCATTGGATTGCTCGTCCTAATTGTGAAGCAGCACTTTATCTCCATTCTAAAATAAAAGTAACTAACATGGAGTGTAAAGGAAAAATGTTGTTTTGGCCATTTAAGATAATTTTTTGTAATTCACGTGTTCGGTTTAATTTGAAGTAGTTCAAATATATTTCCGTTTTTGTACAGAAACATATTGAAATTAATCATTTGGAATTATGGTGATTTATTTGGTCATTTTTTTAAGCTGTTCCCATTAATTTGGGAGAGTAAGAACAGCCAGGGTGTGTGTGGAGGGGGGTTGTGGTTTGTTGGTGAATGTCAGGTGTGATGATGGGAGGTTTGGGGACAATGATTTTTTGACCACACCAGACTTTTGCATTACTTTTCGACCACCTTTTTGACTTGTAATTTGCATCAAAATTAGAATGAATTTTTGGTTATGATTTCCCTATAATTTTATAAGAAAGTGTGTTGAAAACACAAATCACCTGTTGCCAGCAACGGCCTTTTCTTTTTTGAAAGAATTTGGTTTGGAAATTAAAAAAAAAGGCTGTGACAGATGTGTTGTGGGTAGGCCATATAAAAGGCCAGTTAAAATAAGCGACTTACTGGACTCCTCAGGTCTGCTGGCAGGACCTGCTTGCCTTCCACGTGGTCCTTGAATCTCCGTCTGGCCTCCTCCAGAGTGGGTTTGTGTCCCGCTTTGCCCAGCTTCCCCAGAACCAGACCTCTTAACAGGGCGTCCAGGTGACCTGCGGGGGGATGATCACCTTAACATTATCGGCCCCTCTTCAGCAGCACACAGAGGAACATAAACCTCTGAACAATCCACCCATTAAAGCCCCGTTTGGAGGGAAGTTTAGGTTTAAATTCTCCTTATCGACAGCCATCCTCTGCAGACAAATCTGCCACAACTCGTTTCCTAACAGGGGGGTTACAGTGCAACTATCGGACCTTCAGTTATGAGGTTTAATTATACTGTTTTTACAGATTTCAAAATAAAAAATGTTTTAAAAGGCACCATCACAGCTACAGATGTAGCATATTTAGATAAATCTGTAACACTCACATCAAATTCGTAAGGTCTCTTTAGTTGAATGTTACAAAACCTGAATCCCTGAATTGGATTAAATGGGTCCAGGAAATGGTCCTCACCTTCCCCAGGCTTGCTGTCCCAGCCCAGCTTGAGACCGATGGGGGTGAAGAGGTCCCGGATGAACTCCTGGATCTCCTCGAAGAAGTCGGTGTGGGACAGGAGGGAGGACAGCACGCCCAGGTTGCAGCTGAGGTCGCTCCACACGGTGTAGTTTGGCTCGTTGATGAAGGCTTCCATCAGCCTCAGCACCTCCACCGTGCTGATCATTCCTGCACGAGACTGACGCCACACAACAATCAGAGCCGGCTGCTGTTTTCTGGGAGCATCCACGTGCAGCCCTAAGCGGATCTGGAGCCGTCTGGTTGGATCCCTTTAGCGAATGTTTAACTCAATTTTAAAGTAAATAGCAAAAAGCTAAATTGAGAACTGGTCATTGCTTTTAAAACCTTCCTATTCCTTTGTCCTGAGGCTGAGAGAGATCACCTGTATGAATAAAGGTAATAATAAATCAATGGAGGGGGGAGACGAAGATATCAGCCAGTTTTCCAAATCCAACTCCTGATTGCCATTCAGAACCTGGCCTGAAGGTATCCGAAACCCATTAACCTACTCTAGAAACCAACTCGCAGAAAAGTGGATGTTCCAGAGTCAGACTGTCCTTTTCAGTCTTAAATCAGGCTGTTTGACGACCTGGAAAACTGACATCTTCATATGTTGGCGAAATCCCAAGTGTTACAAACATTAAAAAAACAAGGCATCATAAGAATGAACGGCTCCTTTTAACAACATGAGGAATCCACATCTAATTCTCCCTCTCAGTTTAAGCCACGGACTAGTTGGCAGACAAAAACCAAGGAAACCAATTCCATTCTACAGTTAAAGAGAGCCAATGAACTGTATTTTGATCAAAGAAATGTATGAGCAGACTCCTCCCGATTCCTTGGGCATCGCTCCAAATCAATGTAATAGTGCAACCAAATTGACTGTAATAAACTTTGTGGAAAGATCCAGAACTTTTCTAATCTTAAATGTTGCATAAGAGCATATAAACATGGGTCGTAATACAAAAGTTGTTCACAGTGAGTCATAACAGCAGATGACTGGGAGCTGGAAACCATTTGATAAAACAACGCATTCATTTTCCAGTTGTGATGATCCCTATAAGCCATTCGCCATTACTCACTTCATGACTGGATCCTCCAGTTGTTCTTAAGTATTCTTAAGCTCCCTGAGCAGCAGATTACGTTTTTCTATTTCTATTTAAGGGAGTCAGCAAAGAAATAAACAAAGATGGGTTTAACTAAGGTAACTTTCTTTCTTTTTTTTGTAGTTCAAACTATTATAGTCACCCTGGTTCTTCAGTACAATGCAATTCTTTAGAAGAAAATGGGATTTCTATACTGAATAGAGCCAAAGACAGACCCCATGTGAGGCGTTCTCACCCAGGATCAGTACAGATGTGCGATCGTACAGACGTGTGAGACCGTAAGCATGTCATAACCCAAGCGTAGGCCTTGTTTTTCACCACTCTGTTGTGTGTGTGTGTGTGTGTGTGTGTGTGTGCACTCGTGTCAGTGATCCTTACGAGAGAGAAAAGGTCGTTCTGCAGGCCCAGGCGGTCCACGGGCTGTAGGCTGAGGTCTCTGATGCCCGGGAGCAGACTCTCCAGCATGGAGGAGCTGTACTGAATGCGGTAGAAGCCCACCGTGCCAGGGTTGATCTGTTAATCAGGCGGACAGAACTTTACCGTTTGGTCTACCATATTGTCTGAAGTAACCGACGCCGCATGGTGACCGGTCAACACACCCACAAAACTGGTCATTCAGACGCGCTTCGACAAACATTAGGTCAGAGGGGAATATGCGGTTATGGTGCTGATAAGTCAGAGGCGGGACCAGAGCAAAAGGGAATTCATGTAGCTGTTTGTACAGTGAGCAGCTGAACAAAGACGGATGCAGTTTTACTTCTCTGTTCGCATCCCGTGCAGCTGTGAATCAGACCACAGCATAAATATCAGCTGCAATCGTTAAAAAGCTTCACCCAGGAGACTTCCAGCAAGCCGGTCCATGCCCGTGTTAATTTACACTTTAAAACACTAAAAACTGATTAAATGATGCGTCAGAGTTATTGGCAGAAAATAACTCTGGACATAATGTGCCTTTCAACTAATTTTTTTTGTATGTTTTCTACACTAGGAGGTCTTTGTTTTGATACACAACCAAGGCAAAGATGAAAAGGTGCTGCTTAAAATAGGAGCTGAAATCCACACTAAAGCGGAGACGTGTTGGATGATGTGTAGGGACAGCGTTTAATGTAGCTGACCGTTGTTGGGGAAAAGTATTCCGGGGCCTTACCTTGACCCACTGGTCCTGGCCAACGCCGCTTAGAGTGATCGAGGTCTCCGGGCTGTCCATCAGAACCTTGAGCTTGGTGCATTTAGGGTCCTCACCAGTACAAATGCTAATGGGAACCATCCAGCTAGGGCAGTCCTCGCCTGTGGAGATAGCGATGAAGGACCATCATGGAGGTGCGACGACCCGTGTTGTTAGTGCCACTGAGGCTTTGTTTAACACTCACCGTTATGTGGTCCACTGGCACAGAACTTCTTCTGAGATATCTTGAGGATGCGGTCATCGCCCTGCTGCAAAAGACAAGGGAAAAGGGGTGTGTCCTTACTGGTCAGTTTAATCCGGAGACACCTGGTCCGGTGGGTTTTGGCTCCTAAAATAGCTCTTTTGGTTTCGGGCCGGCTTGTCAAAATTGAATTTGACCAGCTTAGAATTTAACCAGCTTAGAGTCTAACCAGCTAAACCGGACGCTCGGCGTCCAGTTGAGCTCACCTGTTCCTGGTCCACTACTATGATTGGGAATCCCATTTGCTTGGTCCACGAGCTCATCACTGCGGCGATGGGTTTTCCACTGGCCTGCTCTAGGCAGTCCCACAGGTCCTCTGTGGAAGGCAGCCACAAATCAGACAAGTGCCGCATCAGCAAATTCACCTGCTTAAAACCGCTTCATCTGAGACGGATTTTTTTCTTTTTCTTTCACAGTCTTACCCGTCGATGCATTTTTATGTTGGAACTTTAAAAGATAGGAGTTCATTCCTTTCCTAAAGTCCTTCAAAAAATACAGAAAAGTCCACTTAAAAAAAAACTAAAGCTAAAAAGATTTTTTTTTTTTTAAATGCTTGGTCAGAAAGCTGGACAACCAACCTCGTCTCCTATGTAGTTGTGCAACATGCGGATCACTGACGCTCCTTTACTGTAAGAGATGGCATCAAAGATTTCATCTACCTCTGAAGGATGGCCCACATTCACCTAAAGCACATAACAGCAGGTCAAAAAGGAAACATTTACAGTATCAACACAACATATAAGAAAAGAATATTCCCCCTTTACACAGATATGACGCTGCAAGTGACCAAACAAACTTTCTATCTATTATCTACATCATATCCACACATTCCAACAAACAGAGAGCCTTTAGAAGTGGATCCCTGCTGACCTCCCACACGGCTCACCTCTATGGGATGGCTGCTGTCCAGGGCATCCAGGTCCAGAGCGCGGGTGTAGTCGGCTGAGACGAACTGGGTCCAGATGTCGTATTCCGGGAAGCAGTGGTCCACACACAGATACTCGATCCAGGACGCGAATCCCTCGTTCAGCCAAAGGTGGGTCCACCATTCCTGCGTACAAAAAACAAAAACAAAAAAAACACACAATTACACAACAAGCCGGGGGAAGCTTTTCATCATGCTTATCGGTCAAACTAAGACCGGTGACTTTCCAGTATTGCTGTGCAGGTTTCATACTTCCCAGAAACTGTTTCAAAGTTCAGCCTATCATGTTTTTAGTTCCCCATTTCAGTTTTAAAAGGAGTTCAAGTTAAGTTCTTTTCAGTTTATTTAAAGTTTTGACGTGAAAATGAAAGAACTGAATTGAAAGAGAGAATAAATCATAGCATTGTGTCTTCTAATAAAATCAATTTGGCCAGAGCTTTAATTCTAAACACAAAAGACATGCATGTGGAACAGTTGGTGGGAAATCCCCCCACCCTGCAGGCAGTGTGATCCCGGTCAAATGGGGATGAATTTTCAAAGGCGGGCAGATATTTTGAGGCAGGACGAATGCTTCAGCTTTACACTTTTCAAATCGGAAGCGAGTGTTGCACAGAAATGTCCGATTTTTGCTGCAGAATAATACAGGTAAAACTCCTGCAGTGCATTGTGGGTCTCACAATTTGAACATAAGATAACATAATGTTAACAAAAAAAAAACGACCGTGTTTGATTCACTGTCATGCCTGCTGTCCCAGAACAGCCTGAAAAAAAGGGTTGCCCTGGTGACCAAGCAGAGGTACCGTTTTCTTGAAAATGAGCTCTCCCTAACTGCGCGCTTCAGTTTGTTAGGACTTACACGAAAAGTGTGTTTGTACATAGGCACGGGACTTTATTTGACGGTGTTGTGTTAGATTACCATGGTGACCAAGTTTCCGAACCACTGGTGGGCCAGTTCGTGTCCAACCACCAGTGCCACCCACTGCTTGGACGACGAACAGGAATTCTTTGGGTCGATTAGCAGCGCCGTTTCCCTGGAAAAAAAACAGCCTCGGGGTTAACGTCTCGTGTGTTAACAACGGGATCCTTCAGCCATTCAAAGTCCACATCAGCTGCTGGGCTGTTGATTAAGAAAATCTGCACATTAGCCGGCTGACGGATCAAATGAGCCCGCCGCCGCTTTGTGCTGTGCACACCTCAGCTGAACACTTGACGAGCGGAAGCCCTTTTAGCCAACAAAAAATGATGCAAAAGCCATTACTGTCAGCCCAAAGAATAGCACTGCTCTTTTTAAAAGGTAGAGCAACATAACTCATTGACTGCCAGCCATTTTCAGAACAGAGATTCCCATACTGCCAGAGTTTTTTTAGCATTTTGACTGATTTTTCAAGAGCCACAGAATAGTTTGTGCTATGACTATGTAAATGCCGAACACGCCAAAAGAAAGAGTAGACTCTCTTCTTTCATCAGGAAAAAAAATTTGTTTCTACCTTATTCCGTTCTTCCTCGACTTGCGTCTCACCGGCGACATTTCTCTCATAGCGAACCATTGCGTTTTTCTTATTTGCCTACAATCTATGCTCATCTCCCATCAAAAGTGGCACTGCCACCTAGAGGGTCAATTTGTTACTACATACTCTGTCTAGAAGCCTGATATTTACGGACAATCTTTAGCATATCGTCCCCCAAGCCACTCGCGTTGAAAAACATAAAAGACATCTATAGAAGTCTTTGGCAGTCAACGGTTGGATTTGAATTGACGTCTATAGACGTCTTTGGCAGCCAATGAGTTAAATGTTCTCAGTCAGGTCACTGGGATACACAGAGAAACAGCCAAGTCACTGACTTTCGCAATCTTATAAAATGTTGTTTAAGAACATTTTTACCTGTAGGTAACAAGGCCCCAGTTTTCCATGGCACCTGATTGGGAAGAGAATATGTTTTTAGGCTCAACATTTTCTCTCAAAATTCTTCAAAAAGTGTAGCAATGAGCTTTTTTTTGGAGGGACTCACCAGCAGCAAAATCTGCAATAGCTATGAGATCGATTTTCGGTAATGGGTAAGGAACGTTGAAGTAGTCTTTGTAGAAAGGTAAGGTCTTGGTTGCCACCTGAAAAACATGGAGGGAAAAAAATTAGCCGGCTCTTAAGGCCTCAAAGTGGTTTCTGCAAAACCGATGGAGCATCAGATCTAGAAGATTCAATGTGGATGAAACCTGATACCTGCCGGGCAATATCAGAGCTGTCTGCGCATTGGTCTCTCTTTAGCTGCAAGTGCAAAGTTTTCAATAGATACTCAACCAACACACTCACCTCCAACGCGAATCGTCCCTGTTCCGCCTTCCCAATCGGTGTGTAGACACGTACAGTGACACCGTCTGAAGACTGGCTCTCCACGTAATCATATTCGCCAATTACAAAAGCTACAAGGTACGTGGACATGATGGGCGTGGTGGCAAACTTTACTTCCACTAGGTTCTCGTCCTCCGGGTATGGCTTTCGGTCGATGGCGTTCTGGAAAGGAAGAACAAGTGGCGTGACGGCTCAGGGGGGAAGAAATCCCACCGAAAACGGAACCAATGGACACAGTCCAGCGAGAGGTGATGACACGAAAAGTTTGCCAAAACCAGTACGGATGATTTGATCATTTCGCTGTGGAGCTTAAAAATAAACTAGAGACAGTAAAATAGTCACACGTATTAATGTGCTTAAAACCGTATTGAGCTAAAAACCACAATTCAACGTTTTTCTGGGAAACTGTTAAACTGAGTCGTCGTTTATTAGCCGGGTCACTTCAGACAAACTGCAGTTTGAGGAGCAGCGGACCAGAAGAAAACGACTATCAGAAACACCGTCACATGACTGGATCATTGCAATTCGTTTGCTGGAGACAGATTTGACTTTTCACAGAGCAATGATGAGGTGCACGCTGTTTCTGGGACCGACGCCAAAAGGTGGTAGCTTTATACTGGGTTCGCGTGCAGTACTTGGGCCACAATCACTGGAGGAGCTCCACACTACCTCATTATTTTTCCAGTTTTAATTTGATCAATGCTGTAAGTCATTTGACTGATGCCAGAATACAAGTATGTGGATGAACAGATCATTTTTTCTGTTCTAATTCTGCCCATTTTGAAGCGGTCTGTCACGTCCAGCAGGGAGCAAATCTGCAACACACTTACGGACACAGGAATTCTGGCAGGTTTTCACCCACTAAATGTCTACCGAGAAGTCCAATCCATCATTATCTCAATTTTTCTTGACTGGACATTCAGCCGTGATACTATAATGCTCATGATAATTCGATATCCACATGTAAGATTTGCTTTGGAAAAGACAACTCACAGGTAGTGAGTCATTAGAGGAACTAAATCTAGTTATATACACACTGCACGTGGATCAACTGTGTATGCCTGGAGGAGAAAAAAATACGATCCTGATTCAGTTTAGCCCTCAATGTCTCCAGAGTACAACGAAAAAACTTCACTGTGCACATGCCATTCTAAAATGTTCTAATATGTTGTGTTTCACCCAGAGGTACGACTTACAGTCACGGTCTATACTGAGTCATGTACGGTTATCTATTAAGATTACAGGCCGATGCAGAACACAAAAGAACACATGACACTTACCATATTTGACAAGGCGACTCTGTCCTTGGGAACAATCAGGGTGATGTCAAAGGTGGCTTTGATAGCTGGCTCATCCCAACAGGGAAAGGCTCTGCGAGCATCTGTTGCCTGAAGGGGGTTCAGAGGGGAAAAAAGCGTGTTTCAGCCAGGGAGTGTTTACACCCGCGGCCAAGATTTAGCCTGAAAACATGTCTTTGTCATGAAAAATGTCCTTTGTATACATTATCACTGCAGACAAAAAGAAGCATAACATGAAACATAACTGAAATGAAAAAATATCAAAAAGACTGAGACCTTTCCACACCACCTTTACCGATAAATACTTACATAAATAAGACAAAAACAACAAGCGTGCCTGGACATGCTGCAACTGGCAAAGTGAGTAACTTCATCCTCAAGCTGTTTTGATGCGTCGCATCGATCCAAAAACATTTTGTCTGTGCAGGCCTGAGCAGGGCACCAGGGACGACTACCCCCCCCCCCCCCCCCATCACCGGACGCCTTTACGCATCCACCAGAGACGGCTACAAAACATCCAACTCTACTCACCACTTTGTCAAAAGCAAAAAGATTTGCCAAAACTGCTCAGTTGGTTAAAAAAAACAACAAATCGGATAAAGTCAAATTCACCAGTTTTACAATCGTGGTTTCACACATGTAAAGTGAGACTTGGAATACACAAAAAAAAGAGAATATTTAAAGGTTGAGGACTCGGGACACAGTACCTGTATATAAAATATAGTCAGGTGACGTGTGCGGTGAAAAACTTCTGTTCCAGCACAAGCATGACATCGGCACTATCCAATGGCGCGCCAGATCAGCCTCAGTGTTATTTACTCATTACTTACTTATTTTGGGTTTGAATCCAGTATTCGGACACCACTTTAGTGGCCTTTCCTCCAGAGATATGGACATCAGAGCTACCACACCGGTGGACTTATTTCCGTTTTTTCTGATATCTGCCATGGACTTCCTGGCCATTTGACCAAAGAGGTTCATAGGAAAAGGAGCCCCCGCAGAGGAGGGCGGGTGAGCTGCCCAGTGGTTTCTCTCTGGCAGAACAAAGTGGCGCGATCTTTTTGGACACCGACTCTGGCTAAAGATGTAGCGAAGAAGTAGCAGTACTGACCCAGCAGAAATGAAAACTCTGAAAACCTGTGTTTAGGACATCCAAACCGTGGAGCTGTGGGAAAACTTCAGGTGTGTGTGTGGTCAGTATAAACTAGGCGTTTCCAGTTCGGACATCCTAAACGAATCTCTGTGTGAAAACCATCATTTCGCAACACAATAATGACAAACCCTGGTTTACGGCTGAAGCCAGCTCAGGTCAGAGAGAGAGAGAAAAAGAGGGAGAGAGAGAGAGAGGCTGCATTCCGATGTGGAGACAGAAAGATCCAAGGAGGCCAAGTACAGATTTAGCAGAGTGGTGAGAAAAGCTGCATCACTCCACGGTGAGAACATTTCTCAGCCAGAGACTCCACCCCAGTCCGGAAAGGGCCGGAAGAAATCGGCGAATACAAGCCTAAAGTCCCCACTTTGGTAATGACATGACTCTCAGACTATCAATACTGGACCCCCCCCCTTTTTTTTTTTTTAAACGGTCCGTTGCAAGAAGTGATTCTGATTAATCTGGATGTTACTCAGCCTGTATGGATCAAGCTTTGAATTCAGGGTAGTCTAATAGTTTGGGGTATAAAAGCATGTCTTCATGTCTTTGGCTCATTGTGACAAACTAAAGACAGCAGGAGGGTTTAAATTAGGGTATCCCGATCCAGCTTTTTGCACTTCCGATCCGATACCGATCCCGGCCTATCAGAGCATGCGTTAAAGTTTAATGTTATTTAGCCTACTTTCTTCGTTGTCAAACTCATGTTGAACAGGGATTTACTCTGATAATTTAATGGTTAGGACACAGACCTGTGGGTTAAGAGATGCTAATGCTAATGCTCGTGTAGGATCGGGAGTCTGGCATTTTTTCATGCCGATATGCATTTGTTTGCGAATATCGGCGGCCGATCCGATCCAAATATCGGATCGGGACAATCGCATAGTTTAAATCCTGCAGCTGACAGCTTTTCTGTAAAAATGTCCTCATCAGAGGCCACACAACACTGACCACTTAGCGTGCAGCATTCCGAGAAACATGAGCAACGTCATGGTTTGAAAACCAAAAAGTTTATAATAAAATGTGCATTATAATAAAAAAAAAAAGGTGAGGCAATTCCTACATAACAGTCACATGACCATAACTCTGTGAAGCCCCCTCTCCCGTGAGGAAAGGCCCCCCTCTTCCGGTGGCTCACCTCAAACTGGGTGACGGCGGCGTACCGGACCTCTCCCACAGGGGTTGTGTATTTACTTCTGTAGAAGCCTTTCATTTTGTCGTTCAGCTCCCCGACAAAGTCGATCTTCAGCGTGCCGGAGCCTGGGGGGGGGGCGTGCACAGAGAAAGTTGCACTGTTCGTTTCGGCATCGACCAAAAGAGGGAGGAAAGCCTGTTACTCTAACGCCGGCGAGAGACGAGAGAAGGCAGCTTCAAAGCCGGGACGACCAACCGGGGGAGGTCCCTCTTACCGTTCAGTAGGACGCTAGGAAATGACAGGGTGACTTTCTCATCCTCGTTTTGATAGTTGAATCCTGTAGCGTTAATTTCTGAGAAAAGCAAACCAGAGGCATGAGAGAGGGCTGAGCGACTTTAAATCAAGTGACGGCCACAAATAGATTTTTCTCAGCATACTCCTCACCGTCTCCTCCAAGAGGTGCAAAGGAAGCTGTGATGATGTCGATGTCGGCACAGTTCATCACAATCTGATTTGTAGCTTGTGTGACCTGCAAATATTGACACAAAACAACGCACGTTCAAACGCACGCCCTGAAATTCTTCACCGCATCCAAACATTTGCATCCCTCTTTGTTTGAGACTAATAAAACCTCTGTATGCAAAGAGGGAGAAATAAAACAAACTTAGTTTGACCCGAGCAAAGGCAGTAAACGGCATCGATGGCAGAAAAACTTAGAGCGAGTCGGAGGTGGCTCTAAGATGAACTCTCGTAGGTTAAAAGGCAAAGCTCGCCAGCACACAGCGCCGGTGCTCGTCATGCTCTGACGAGGTAAAACACGTGCACGTGGAGGCTGTGGCTAAGAAACAGGACACGCTCCGATTGGTTCTTTTCTATTACATTACCCACCGGCCAGTCATCCTGTTTTCATGGAACATGCGTGCGTTTCCTCTTTTTAAGCGTGGAGAGACGTTTGAAAGCCTTTACCATTTATCCTTATGAATTATTTTACTATTATCAATAAACCCAATGGGCAATCAGCCATTTAAAGAGGAGTCTTATGGGTTGACCTTCTAAATGTTGACTTTATAACCATATTATCTATGTGGCGAAAGGGCTCTATAGGTAATTTCGATTTTTCCCTGAATACTAAAATCCCAAAAGACTCATTCACTGGTTGGCTTTTAGCCCCAACTTTATGTTTGTATGGGTAAACACAGGATGTGGCTGAAGAGAATTGTTCTGAGAATTCTACTTTATTAACAAAAAATAAAATAAAATCTTAAATTAAACATTGAACGAATAGGGAAAAAAATAGGATTCTGCCCCTACTTTGTTTTTACAGGTTACAGCAGCAGTGGCCTGCAGGTACGCCCGCGGTTCCAGTTAAACCAGGGACTGGGTTAACTGGCAACCTTCAGCTGACGGCGTCGGTGGTTGCCGTTAGCTACAGCAGCTGTTGGAAAAACCTGAAGAAGCCTCTTAGCTGTCCTCATCAATGCCGTGTGCTTTTATGTCTCATCAAGTTCCAACGTTTGCATGTGTGACTGTGATGTGGACTGTGTTTAGAGGGAAGAGTCACTCAGAAATATTCCATATGTGGCATCACAGAACATGTAAATCCGAGCTTCCAACAATCCCGAAATATCCATGAAGAGTTTTATCTGAGGGGGGCCTAACACTCCTATCTAAACCGGAACTGAAATGTGGGGAAATTTGTTGCACTGCCATATCGTATTAGCTCCAAAGCAGAGGTAAGTAAACGCATCACACAGCAACCCGCTTCAGCCACACTGGGACATTACATTCATGTTTCGGAGAATTCCTGTAACACTACAATGGCATAAAGACTTCCAGCCTGTGGAGCAGTGTCTAAGGTTGTCACACGTCTGATTGGGTCACATCACTTTGCCGTCTGTGCTAAACCTCAGACGTCATAGTTTCCCCGGACTGATTTGTTTACCTTTGGGATCAAACCAGTGGCGAACACAAGCTGAACCGTCTGAGATTTGCAGGTTACGAGGATCCCGGGTAATAAAGCAGATAAATAGATTAAATAGAATATGTCACCTCGATTTTAGCTGTACCCACCGACTTTTGATACATTCTTGTTCTGATGCGTCTGAGTGTTCCTGGTAAATATTCAAAACTATGCAGCTAATTGGACAAATTATGCCGAGACCTCCTCCACCCTTCCTGCTGTTGGCTGTTCCTGGAACACCACAGATTAACTGAATATTTCTGAGTGACTCTTCCCCTCTAAACACAGTCACACATGCAAACGTTGGAACTTGATGAGACATAAAAGCACACGGCATTGATGAGGACAGCTATGAGGCTTCTTCCGGTTTTTTTCAACAGCTGCTGTAGCTAACAGCAACCACCGACGCTGTCAGCCGAAGGTCGCCAGTTAACCCAGTCCCGGGTTTAACTGGGACAGCGGGCCTACCTGCAGGCCACTGCTGCTGTAACCTGTAAAAAACAAAAGTAGGGACAGAATGACACCGTAACACATGTTTGGCAACAAGCCGATGAGTCAACTACACATAAGCTAACTAACTCGTTAGCGAAGCCAATACCAAAACATACCAAATATAACATTTAGAATCATCAGCAAGCATTCAAATGATCTAAACTTATTTCTCATATTACCCCTGAGCCCATTTCACATGAGGTTCAACTCCAATTGCGATACAAACTGAGGAAAACAGAAGGTGGGAGGGGGCGACACGATGTTGCCATGATTTAGCAAACACTAGCCAGCGTTAGCCAACTTCTGCTAGGTTTGTCAACCTCGTAAGTGATCACCATGAGGTAACCTGACACTTCCTTTAAATCAATGCCCCTGCCTTACAGGGGTTGACAACGGCGAAATTAATCATACCACTCACTGACATATTAAGCCCAATCGCTGCCAGTAGGCTCATGGGTTCGGACAGCTGGCTAGGCTAACGTGCAGATACCTTCGGTAATGTTGTGCTAGCTGAATGGAGGCAGCATGTGGATAGAGACAGAAATGCATAACTGTTAATCCTTTTATTCTTATGTATAGTTTGGCTTTAGAATGGACCCGTCAGAAGGGTTAACTCTTTAACAGCCCCCAGGAAACGTTGAGACTAAGCTAATGCCTCCCAACGACAGCTAGCGGGCTAAAGGCTAACAATTTGTCGTGATCAGTGGAACCCAGCAAATTGACTAGCAACTGGTAACGGTAGCTTGTCAGATTACATAACAAAATATCCTAAAAAGCACACACCATGTCTCCCCAACACAGACTGGAGCCTTAACACAACATACCTCCACCAGGGCTTCCAGCTTGCCCTCGAAGGTGAAGTCGATCAAGTCTGGCTTCAAACATAAGCCATAGTTGACGGGGTAAACGTCTGTTGGCAACCGTACGAAAGGCCTCCTTTCGGGCATGGTTCCTGTATGTTGGCCGGCCGTACTACCGAAGACGGTCAAGTGTGCAACACTAGTAGTATCTCTGGGTTTAATTTGCAAGAAGCTGACCAAACTGGGCCTCGGCAGTGGAAACGGACAGCGGGTAGCGACACTTGCGAGCGATAGCGAAACCGTGCGGCCCAGGAACAGCAACATTAACTGAAGACCTGACACCACTGTCAACTACACTTCTCCCCTCTCTCGGCCCAAACAACTCTACTTAATCAGCGTCACGCTGAAGGAGCGTTACGTCATCACGTTTCACCGTACGTAGAGAAAGTGTGCGTGAATGGCAGCCGACTTTCTACGCCCGAGCACGTAGGCCGACCCTTTTAACAATTTTAAATCTTTTCCGACAGTTTGGAACAACTCGTACCGTATTGTAAAGTTAGAACATTAACAGAATGAACTTGTCATCGTTAGAAATGTATACCATTTTAGTTTTTATGAAGAAATGTTCAAGACATTGAAAAGTTGAATAACCGTGACAGTTTTATTCTGAAAAATTGTGTCCGGAACTTTACTTTGAACATCCGTATTGCTGAGAGCAAGATGGCGACGTCCGTCAGGAGGACGCTGGTGGCCCTTCACAGAGGGGCATGTCACCGTCTGAAGGTATCGTGAGCTTCGGTTTTCTTCCGGACGTCGTGCTTTTTCTGGGAGTCCTATATGCTCCTCTGGCCCTGCTTTGGTGTGCTGCTTAGGGCCGGTGTCCCACGGCAGGAGGCTTTCTGGGTTTTTGTCTCACTGTTTTCTCACCGTGCCTGTGTGGGTTAGTTCTCCAGCACAATCTGGAGACAAATTAAAATTGATTTTAACTGCCAGGGTTTCTGGCATTTCTTCTTCATGTGAGATCAGAAACACAAGCAGAATGCCTCTCAGGGTCAGAGTGCATGGTGTTCCTGACCAGGCCCCCCTCCTTTATCTAGCATGTTTTCCTTGAAAAAATTCCAGTTTAAAGTTCCCTATGAATTTAATATGTGTGGCCTCTAACTCAAAGGATCACACAGATTAATAAATCAATCTATCAATCAATCAATGTTTATTTATATAGCACTTTACAACAACCGGAACTGACCAAAGTGCTTTACAGAATAAAAACAGATCAAACTATCGAAATATACAAAGACAAACACATTGGTGACAGAACCCAGTATACAGAGATTTTACGTGCAAAAAGCCATCCTGACCAAATATGTTTTAAGTTGAGCTTTGAACAGTGGCAGGTCAGTAAATGAATAATCCCTTCATTTATCCTCCCCTGTTCAGAATGCAGAAACCTCTCTGGAACATCCCCTCCCACTTTATTTGCCCGCCCGGACCAAGAAGAGGTACTTCATCCCTCCGGCGGCGGGATTGAAGGGGAAAAGGGAGCAGAACCCAGAGACCAAGGCGAGAGCGGCAGGCATCGTCTTCAGACAGCAGTACCTCGAGCGGCCCATTAACATCGCCTGCACAGGTAACAAACCCGGTCATGTGTCGGAGGGCGTGCAGCATTTTAAAGCTACTTTTGTCTCCTCTGTTGGGGATTAATGTTACTTTCAGATGTGTGGGAGTCAAACAGCAGCCTCGTGGTTCACCCATGTGTCTGTGAAGAACTGAATAATCACACAGCATTTACAATCTGAAACTATTAACTCTTAAAAAGTGCTTTTTGAAAAACTTGGATGGCACACACTGATTGACGGCTTGTGTCTTGCTGCCTTCATCAGCTGGAGTCTTCGACCCGTACATCCCTCCGGAAGGTGACGCCCGTCTTTCTGCTCTGTCCAAAGAAGGCCTGAAGCAGCGAACTGAGCAGATCCGACAGAGCGCCGCCTCACAGCTAGCGTAAATCTGGTTTTGCTGTCACTTCCTGTCACTCCCCTCTGTTGATACTTTCCTATCCAGCATTCCTGGAGATAAGTAACTGTGGTATTGTGAGGGCCTTATGACAGTTTAGATAGTTTCACCTCATTAACTTCAATTCCCTAAAGACATTTAAATGATGATCTGTACGTGTTCTTTTTGTGTTGTTCCAGGATTCGTAAAATCAAAGAGCATGATTCGCAGTTCTCCACGAAGGGCTTTGCAGAGAGAGCTCAAGAAATCTTTATTGAGGCTCACGGTGCTCTGACACAGTAAGGACACCATTGTCTCGCTCCGCCACCTGACACGGCTCCACACTGTTCATCCACTGAGACATTTGTCATAGAAGTGGGAGTCTTGATCTGCCATCAGTTCTGCTGATAAACTACTGACAAACTGATTAGTTGTTTTTATCATCTAACTGGGTCACATCACTCTGCAGATGTAGGGTTTTGCTCCATAATATATTATCGCTATAGGGCTCATAGAGTAATAGTAATCTACAGAAGAACATCCAGATTATTGTGGGACTGGTCTGATAACCAAGAGCTTAATGATGACTAGAAAGAAATCAGTTTTAAGATGGACCAAGTCCTTTTGTTTGATATCACACACTCCACAAACCTCATATTGGATCCGTTTCTGGGTGCTCGTTACTGTGGAAATTCTCCTGTTTAATGGGGAGTTTTTGTTCTGCTCAAAAGAGAAATGACTCTAATAAAAAAAACGACGGTTGAGTGCCTTTTGCGATTTCTTTCGTCACTTATTAGACTAAAAATAACTGGAAAAAATATTCACGACCATCCCAAAAATTTGAAACTTTTCTGTTCGGAGATGTTCTGATTTGTTTTCGGTTGAGAATTAAAGTGAATTGTTTAAAATGTTGATTAATTTAGGTTGACAGTTTGTGCAGTAAAGCAAAACAACAGATTTCCCCGAGTAATTTAAATATTAATGAGGGCATTTCTCTTCCCACTGAGCAGTACCTTTTCACTGGGGTTTACCTTTCTGATGGACACTCACCTCCAGCCTTGTGTGTTACAGGTTCAACAAGGAGAAGCTCCACTCTCTAGTTACAGAAAGGTGCTATCCTGTAAGTTCTGGCTTTGAAAACGTTGCGAACGTTTCTCTGTTTGAATCCAATCTTGAGTTTTCCGCCATCGCCCCTCTCTGCTGTACTTAGGAAATGACCAGGGGAAACCGCTACAAGACCATCCGCTGGACGTTTGTGGAGTCCCTGGAAGTGCCCAGAGTGGTCCACGCCCGCTGCCCAGACATGGTGACCAAAGGCAACTTGTACGGGCAGGTGACGGTCCGCATGCACTCCAAGCAGGTGGGACTCCAAGACGTTTACTCTTTAAAGTCAGATACCAATCCTGCTGCGCTCTATGCCAACAAGTAAAGGAGTTTAGCTATTTTTAGAAGCTTGTTTGTTTTGGACACATTTCTACTTGGACTAGGTTCCTGTTTTGGGTTGGAAGCCTCGGTTGTATTATTCATTTGCCCACATGTGCAGCTATTTGCTTCAAACTTCCCCAAAAAAAAAAAATATATATATATAGGCCTTTCAGAAGTACCACACTGAAGAAAGTTTCCGTTCAGGATCAGTTTTTTCTGTTTGGTAGAGTAACAAAGAGAAGCCACATTTTTTTGAGTTTCGATTCAGGATTTTGATGAGAGAATGTAGCGTTTTGCGCTTGTTCGCTTCCCAGACTCTGGCCATCTATGACCGCTTCGGGCGGCTGATGCTGGGCAGCGAGGAGCAGCCGAAGGATGTCCTGGAGTACCTGGTCCTCGAGCGGCACCTCATCAACCCCTACGGCATGTGGAGGCTACACGGGAAGATTGTGCCATCCTGGGCCCCCGCAAAGGACCCGATCGTAAAGGTGATAACACTCAAATATTCACCCGTTTTCAAACCAATGGTTACTTCCTGTCAACAAGGACACAAACTCATTAGATGGAGTATGTTTGGTAGTTTGTAATGTATTTTTGTTCAAATAGCCTTGGTTTTCTCATCAAGATGAGGTCGCAGACAGGTGGGAACATACTTTTAGGACAAGAGAGGTGTACTATATTGATACCAGCATATCAGGGAAATTATTTTTCATAGGGGTGGACGAAGAGAATCTCCAAGCTAACTGAACAGGAGGTGCAACAGCAAATATTTGGGTCAGTAATGAGGGTGAGGCGGCAGAGCCAAACCACATCCCGGCACAGCTTCTGTTCTGTTCTCAACTTGTGGTTTGCACCTCTAGATGTATCACAAATGTGGCTTGGCAGTGGCAGAAGTAAGCTGATGGTTCCATCAGGCTACACTGCGAAACACCGATGTGTGACTCTTCAATGATTGCATTATTTGGGAAACATTTAAAGAATAGATCATCTCTACCCAAAACAATGGAATCATGGAATCATTTTCTTTAAACCCTGACCATAAATGCGGTTAAACTGCAGTCGCCTGAGATCCAAACGATCGGAGCACAGTGTGTCTTCAGTCTGTGCTAACGTGCGATTCGGTAAATGATAAACAAAGCTGCTCTGGACTCCGAGAGTCTCCGAGAGTCTTCGAGGCCGCGTAGCCCCGCTGTGTTTGTGACTCAGCCTCCGATTTTCCCGACAGATGGAGCAGTTTGTTGCCCAACGTTTGCTTTTCTAACGGTTAACACTCTCAGACAAACATCAGACTAGTTCCAATAGTGCACAGCGTGCTTACAAAATCCCCACATTTGCTATTTTGTGAGGGTCGGTTGTTTGAAATAAAGCATTTAAATGCAGTAAAAACAAGATCTTTTCTTTAAAAGTGCACCAATATATCCCAACAGTATTAAACCCACTAAACTAAGAGCGTGGACATTCCCTCTCTGCTGCCTCATGATGATTATTAAAACCCCCACTGAGCGCTGCGCCCCAGCAGAATGATGCAGTGTAACAGAATGTTCTCTGTGGTTCACTTCACATGTCGGTGGTTTTAATATTGCGGCCCACGTCCGCCCGAGGGGCAGATTTATGTCTGCGTCGCTTCACACAATCCCGACTGCGTCTTGTTTGTCTGCGTTGTGACTCGGCATAAAACTCACACACACACACTCACTCTCTCCCCTCTTCTCGACTTTTTCAGACCCTGTGCATTCCTGGTCCGGAGCTGAAGCCGTGGCAGGAATTTGACCCCCTCAGCCACGAAATTCCCAAACCGGCCGCAGTGCAGTGGTATAAATAGACCACCGGATGGCGGTGCTCTTCAGAGTTACTCCAGGAAACCAGACTGTTTTCCCCCAATCTGTACGGCCTTAGAAAGTTTTTGGCTGTAAGGACGCTTCATACAGCAAGTCACTGAAGATGGAGCAGGTTGAGTCCTGAAACCAACTACAGATCTTTTCACGGTTACAGTTTTGTCTGATTCTTTTATCTATTTTTCTGTTTTTTGCCTCAGGAGACAAATAGAATTGGGCTGTGTGAGAAATAAGATAACTAAATGGATTATTTCTGTGATGAATATTCAGCATGGCGACATCTGAGTGTACAACAGGCTAGTCGCAATGAATGGCACATTCAAAGTAATAAAAATTAGAAAAAAATGCATGCACATCTGGACAGTCACATTTATTTAGAAAAAAGATTTATTTAAACAGTGACTTAACAACAACGGTGCATCAGAAAAAGTGTCCATCACCACTACTGATTTCACAGGTTGCTGCTGTGTACATTAAGAAAAAACGTTTAAACAATAAGATATTTGAAACAACGTTTTTATGACACGGTGTGATGCTGGATTCAATTTGAACAAACGTTTTGCTGATGGTGGAGAGGTAATAACCATATGACTCTGATTCTCAATCCACTTTAATCCACACATATACACACAGGGCTTAACAAACGTATCAGACTGCCACCCAGTGTAAGGTTTTGTCATAGCTGCCCTAAGTTAAAGGCATTTGCAGTAACCAAAATGAGTATTTTGTGTAAATACACCACCACTTAGAAGCTTTTTTGCAGAAAAAAGCTATTTCTAATGACTAAAGTGACTCATAATGAGCTCCTTCTAATTCAGAAACTGATCACACAAAAGGTTCTGCTGGGAACTCTGTGGGGCTCAATAATATTGAGCCATTATTTCACACATTTTATTAGATTCAAATTGTTTTTTTTAAGCCTAATGTTTACATTCAGGTGTTCTGAGAAATTTGTTAAGCTCTGTTCATATATACATGCAGTCAAGCCCAGAATTATTCATACCCCTGGCAAATATTAAATTAGGTTTATTCTTTATTCAAGCAAACTTTTTCCTGATTGAAAATGACACGGGCATCTCCCAGAAGGTAAGACGATGTAGACGAGGCGTCAGAATGGAAAAGAATTCTCAGCTTTTATTTACAATTGAAGAAAAATAAGCGTATCCAAAATAATTCATACCCATCCCACCTCCATGTTTGACAGTGGAGTGGAGTTCTTAGGGTTGAAGGCCTTTAACATTTTATTTGATTAAACCTGAAAACAGAAACAAAGGCTTCAACATTGTTCCTTAAACAATAAAAATTTTCTAACAACGTCCTCTGAGTCTGCAGAACATCTTGTAATTTTTAAGAAGAACTTTGGGCTGTTATGAAAAAACAATTAGATGTGACGTCATATCTGTTTCCTGACTCATGAGTAGCTGCAGGTCCTCCGGGAGATCCTATGTCTTAGCCATGAATGTCCACAAAACCAGCTGCAGTGAGTTTAGTTGTGGTCATTTGGATGTTTTAGAACAGCTTGGCTTATTTGGAATGGTACTGAACTTTGGATTTTGGACCGGGTCAGTTTGCAAAGGGTATAAATAATTCTATGTCAAAACAATATATATCATAATTAGCCACTAAAGGCATTTTTTTATTGATTAATTGATCAGGGTATGATAATTTTAGACATGCCACTTTTCATCCGAATGTAAATAAAAGGTGACAGATTTTTCAGTGATGTATCTTGTGCATAATCTTCTTTTCATCTATAATCTTCTGGAAGATGCTGGTGTCATTGCCAATGAAAAAATAGCTGCTTAAATAAAAAAAAATTTAAGTCAAAATATCTTCAGGAGTATGAATAGTTACATGCTTAACTGTACACTTAATATATATATGTATATATATATGCTATCTCTAAAACGAATGTAAAATAAATCTAGATGACAAAAATGCAACCTTAATACCAAATACAAATGGAACCTCTTCACGTCATCTTAAACATTTTCAAAATTACTTTATTTGTAGCTTTTATTTCCTTCTTTTATTATTATTATTTTTTGCTCTGACATTGCTATGAAATTTTCAGCTATTCATTTTAGTGAGTTTTTTTTGTTCTAGTTAATACATTTAGTTATGTAGTCATGCCTATTTTGTTTGTAGTCATTTGACTCATTGTCAAAGCAATGCAATAACTTAAGAAAAGTAATTTCTTAAAATAGGTTTATATCTTACTTGTAGGTTTATATCTTACTTATAGAAAGAATGGTGATTCTTTCTATGAATACATTTTAACGTCTGTTATCCTTTTTCACCCATTTTGATTTAATCAAAGGTGTAAATCATGTTATCAAGACTAACACTTAGTCAATGTATCTAATTATTTTAGGACCAGATGAAAAATTCTCTAAGGAAAACATCACAGTATTTTTCTTACTTTTTATTAATATTTCAAATGTTTAATATTTGCCAAGGTTATACAATTGAAAATAGTTTTGGCATCATGTTTTTTCTACATGATAGGGGGAAAATGAGGGGCACTGCCAAGCTGTGAAGTCTTTCAGAAAATACATTTTTCCGACTTTTTCCAACACTGAGGGTGTGAAGCTGAAAATAAATGTGTCATGTGACATCTTTGCAACAATGGTGCCTCTGTTCTACTGCAACAAAAGTTTAATTTTCAGAAAGCTGTTGGCTGAATGAACTTTGATTGAATTTAGCCAGCATCTTTCTCTGCTGTTTGCTAATTAGTTTTTTAGACCTTCTTCTATGTGTTGCATTTAAGACATTGAGTTCTTCTGATGTAAGTACAGACTTTGAAAATGAGTTCTTCTTATCCATGGATATACATTACAAGCAAGTATATGGTTTGTGAACTAAAACATACAAACACACACAATATATTTAGAAAATAAAATGGTGGGTAAAAGCAGGAAAGGGGGGCTTCATCTAATAACCTTAGATGCTCTTCCATTATTCAACATGAGGTTTCATTGCTGGGTCAGTGAGGGATGTTGTGAGCATACCAAATGTGTTTAATTAAATATAAACTTGTTTGCACAAACAATTGTGTCTAGTTCATCTGGTCACATTATTCAGTTCATAACCAGACTTGTCCATGTCCTTACTGGATGTGCACTTTCATTTTCAGCTGGATGGAGGACGTTGTGTTGGGGATCCATATTTCATTTGTGATTCAGGAGGTTTAACAACAGTTCCCTAAAAGTGTCAACAGATGGCTTTATAGTTAATATTCCCTGTGATTTTAAAGGATGAGTTAAAAATCTTAACTGGCTTGGCTTAGATCACAAATCAGGCGGGAATACAAGAGCCTCGGCGGCACACTCTGCATCATCGTCCTCATCTTCCTCAGGAATATTCTCAGGCTCCCATGTAAAGACATCTGAAGTACTGTCTGTGAATGAACCACACATGCTCCTTTCAGTGTCCCATGGACACAAAGCATCCCGCCGACCCAAGGCTAAGTTTGCCTTAGACTCATCTGTCTGCTCTGAGCTAATGTCTGCTGAATTCTCCTCTACTCCGAGTACGCCCTGGTTCGCTGTGTCATCTATGTCACAGTAAGAAATGTAAACTCTGTCATCTCCACTGCTTTCGTTATTTCCAGCAACCCCAGGTTCTCCCCCCTCTATTGGACAAGAGACTTCCCCAATGCCATCTTGCTTGTTTGCAGCATTAGTGTCTTCTGTGTCCCATGGACAAACATCTGCCCGAGTGCTCTCCTGTTTTTT